TGGCCCACGTAAGAAACGACGGTGTTAGTAGGCAATAGGTCTAGCAATATGCGTGATTAAGTGCAGCCCCCTTCACAAGTGCCTATGCCTAAAAGAATAGAATACTGTAATATACTTGGCACTAGTGAAGATATAGCTAGCGTTGGGGACAAATCTCATCTTGGGGACAAATCTCAAAACCTTGGGGACAAATCTCAGCAGCCATTGGATAGTTAGTCATAGTGTAACTTACGCTAAACTTGATCAGACGCTCGGCGTAACCTATCCCCGACAAGTAAACAAATATCGCACAAGTAGTAGTTAGTAGTTAGCTATCTATCGAATACAATCCCTGGTATACCAAAGCGATTGCTCTACGGAGCGCAGCCCCTTACATTGTCCACTAACTAATAACACTGTATTTAAACTTAGTTTCAGCATCATAACTACATACAACACAATATACTTTACATTTACTCAACTGCTTACAGTAAGAGAAGAACTTATAAGAGAGTTGACCACAACGAGTGTAGTAATGCAATCCTTCCATCCTTCATACCCATTCCTTCAGGTCCTGCTATCAGAAATCTGCCTTGCCATCACTAATGGCACGTCTTAGCGTGATAGCATATCACATGACTTCTGAACCCCGCGATGATCATTACCTTCTAACGAGGTCACTGGTTGACCTTCGACCTTGACTCCTGCATCAAGGAGAGAATTCCTCTTGTTACTTGTAACATAAATAATCAAAGTTTTTATACAGAATCATAGTAGTGAGGTCAATTTTCTACGAAACACCAATGATCTTTGCTTTCTCCTTCGCAATGCTAGAAGCTTCGTTCTATTGCGACTAGAAGCTTGCGACGGGCTATATAAGGCACTTAGAGGTTAAAATGGAGTAACCTTAGTCCGCGCATCTGCTATTGCCTAGGAATTCTCCTGACCTTGCAAGTTCAACCGTCTGAGGGTAATACTGAGGTTGATCTTTGCCGAGATGGTAGAGAGATGCTCTTCACCAAAGATCCGCCTCCTCTTCTCTAGCACCTCTTTCTCTATCTTAGCCGCCTCGTCTAGCTGTCCTTGTCTTACAAGTGTGATGGCGAGGTTGCTCATCGCCAAGATAGTGTGAGGATCGTCTTCGCCAAGGATCCGTCTCCTCTTTTCTAACACCTCCTCCTCCATCTTGGCCACATCGTCTAGCTGAACTTGATCTCCAAGCGTGATAGCGAGATTGACCATCGCTGAGATAGTGTCAGGATGGTCTTCGCCAAGCATACGCCTCCGCTTCTCTAGCACCTCCCTCTCCATCTTAGCCGCTTCTTCTAGCTGACCTTGATCTCTAAGCATGTTGGCGAGATTGCCCGTCGCCAAGATAGTGTTAGGATGGTCTTCGCCAACAATCTGCATAATCTTCTCTAGCACTTTCTTCTGCATATGCACTGCTTTCTCTAGCTGACCTTGCTCTCTAAGCGTGATGGCGACGTTGCCTATCGTCAAGATAGTGTCAGGATGCTCTTCGCCAAGCAGTCTGCATCGTGCCTGCAGCACATACTCCTCGATTAACAGCGTTTCTGCCCATCTTTCTAAATCTTTTATGAAAAATACCACGCCTTCTATCTCATTAATTATATCTTCAGTAGTTCCGTCTATATCATGCGCTGTAGTTAGCGCAGCAAAGCTTCCCATCACGTGCGGCACAAGTCGTAGCTTGTCTTCTGGCTCGCGACTACACCCCTCTATCGCCTCTATAACGAGCTGAAACGCTGCCTTACTATACTTGCTCTGCTCCTCTGCGCCGAGCCGGTCGTAGCCCCAAGCATGCACCAGCTTATGCATCGCATAGCCTTGTTGCTCTGCCTTCCACCAGACTAGCGAGTACTTCTGCAACACTGCAAAGCACTCTTCGATCTTGTACATATCCACTGTCTGCTGCGGATAGACTAGGCTCTTCCAGCTCGTCTTCGCCTAATCTACTATTTGTTCTTCGCTGTTTGCTTCTATATTAGTGTAGAAAAGCTTGAGGTATATATCATCGAAGCTTAGAAAGGATAGTATCGTCATTAGCATCGATGCCTCTGCACACTGCCCGGCAACGGCTGCATACGACGTCTCCCACGTCGTCAGCACGCTCTCGCTGTACTGGTGCACCAGGCTCTCAGGCTTGCGCTGGAGCAGCTCCCGCCGTCGCTCTTTGTACTCTGATAGGTACGCCTTAATGTTGCTCTGCAGCCGCGGCGTCCGCCCGACGTAGGTAGCAGCGAGCGTGATAGCTAGCGCCAGGCACCTAAGCTCTTTGACAATGCACAGCACCTTATCCTTAGTACTCACTCCGTTGTAGTATATCCTAGCGTACTTCTGGAACAGCTCAGCGGCCTGCCCCGCCTCCATCTCGCCTACCTGCACTCCCTCTAGCCGCGTCATGTCCTTCGCCGTGCTGCTTCGACTCTTGATGATGACGTCTAGGGCCGCTGTGCTAGGGATGAAGTGCTTGATGTTGATGTACCCGTCAGCCTTCTCGTCCTCGATCGTGTCGGCGCCGTCAAACACTATCAGCCACCGGCCTCGCTGACCCGCAAACCAGCTCTTCACTCTAGCCACGGCATCCTCTACGCTAATCGCTGTCTCTTGCCCAGCAGACGTGTAGAGGCCGAATAGCGTCTGGTATAGGCGGACGAAGTCGCGCTCTAGCGACTCCTTGCGCTCTGCCTCGATCCAGAAGGTCGCCTTGTACTGGTCGCGATGTTGCTGCACGTAGTCGAGCACTAGCTGGGTCTTGCCCGCCCCGCCAAGTCCCCATACCACGAGCGTTTTAGTGCCGCTATGTGCAGTATTACGGCCAAGCTGTGCATGTATCTAGTCGTGCAACAAACTACGCGGGACGAACGCCTTAACAGGCTCGAGCGCAGTGTGTGCGAAGTGGCCTGCGAAGTCTATGCGGGCCGCTGCTGCGGAGTCTATATAGAGTGAGTATTAAACCTAACACGATTATAGCTAAGGATGCACTTACTAAAGGTAAGACTAATAAAGTTGCCCTAGAAGACCACTGCTCTGTTCGCAGCGTGGGTAGCGCCAAAGCGGGACCCTTCCTGGCGGATCTGCGCCTCGCTAGATCGCCCGCCTTCCCGCTGCGCAGGTGGATAGTGTGGGCGCGAGGGGAGCTCCATGGCAGGAGCTGCAGATAATGTCGTAGACAGTTAAAGGTGCGCTGCCGAGTGATGACACGACTATAACCCGCCTGAGGTCCCACGTCCCTCAGCCGGGAGACGACACACGTGAGCAGGCTGCAGGTGCTGAGCCGCAGCCGTGCAGCTCAGCTCAGGCTGGGTGTGCAGCGATTGGCAGTCGTCGCGCCATCCAAGTAGCACCACGCACCAAGCAACAGCCTGCGCAAATGATATGAAGTAAGCTACATACCCCGCCAACTTATAAGGCCACTGCTAGAACTGAAGTGCTGTACGAGTAGACTAACTTGTCCGTCAACTCTTAGTACTTGAAAAGTAGGCAGGTGTTTCGTCCTTCACTGCGCTTTCACGTCTTCCTTGTCCGCCTCACGCTCAGAGATTGTCTAAAGAGTCGCACTACAGAATAATTATGCCGAGGTGGTCGTGGCTCTCACGCAAACAGGGTTCTGATGACGACCGATTCTCGCCCGACAACACGCCCATACCACCGTCCGCACCAGCAGCGTCCTCTTCGCGAAAGGTTTTCCCTTCTGGGCTGAAGTTGTTGCACCCTGGGGAGAACAGCATTGTTGAGTAAGTTCATTGGAACTGACTGGCCGTCTCTGCTAGCCTCTACCGACTCCGTACGCACAGTGCGATACAGCAAGAACTCGCTGACTTTCTCCTACTCCAGTCTGATTTTCGTACATGGCCTCACTGGAGACCGAGAGAAGACATGGACGGCTAAAGATGCCACTGAGCCATGGCCGAAAACTCTGCTGCCATCCAAAGTACCGAATGCCCGCATTCTCACTTTTGGCTATGACGCATACGTAAGTGACTGGCGAGGCATGGTTTCAAAGAACAGGATTGGCAACCACGCGATGAACCTGCTTTCTAGTGTAGCTAGTTACAGAGAAGAAGATGACACTGTATGTCCCCATCGTAGCTCTACGCATGAAGCCAAACTTACAGCAATAGGACAGCCGTCCGATCATATTCATCTGCCATAGCCTAGGAGGTCTTGTGTGTGAGGATGTAAGCTGTCTAGCTAAGCGATTAGTTGATTGCAGCTGCTAATCTGACATTAGGCTCTCGCCGCAGCACAGCAACGGCCCGAAGCACACATCAAGCGAGTTCTTGACTGCTGTCGCGGCATTGTGTTTCTCGGTACACCGCATCACGGCTCAGGCCTAGCACATTGGGCAGAGAGTCTAGCAAAAGCTATTGGTGTGCTTAAACAAACTAACGCTGAGATTCTTGCGGTCCTCAAAAGCGACTCGGAAGTGCTCGAGCGGATCCAGGGTAACTTCCACACCATGATCCGTGCACGCAACCAGAACGGGCTTGCGCCAATTGAGATTACCTGTTTCTACGAGGAGCTGCCTCTGCCTAGCGTTGGCACAGTGAGTTGAACGCCGATCGGGAATTGAAGCTTGACTTATAACCACCACAGGTTGTCCCAGCCCATTCAGCTATCTTGCCCGGTTATATTCCAATCGGGATACGACAAAACCACATGGACATGACAAAATTTAGTGCGGTGGACGATCCTGGGTTCGTTGCCGTTACTGGTGAGGTTCGTCGGTGGGTCAAGGCGCTTGTTGTATCAGTGAATGACACCAGCACCACTCGGGATAACACTTGGGACCCGTCAAGGGATCGCAATAGCCCTGAGCCAGGCGGTGCGCCAGGCTCGCGAGTACTGAGGATCGATCAAGGCGGCTCGCACTACACAGGTGCAACTACTGTTAACGGAGGATCGCTCTTTCAAGGGAACTTTGTCGGTCATAGTATGTAATAGCCTGATGTTTACTAGTCAGTCGAATAGGCACTACTCGCCCCACGTGCC